CAACCGTAAACTTCGTTATAGCTAAATTATTCTGCTAAGAATGAGTCTATGGGACAAATATTACTAGTAGCCGACTCTGGTGGTGTAGATATCTTGTTAGCTTCATCAGTGTTGTCCATATTGTTGATACGTGAAGCCAAAGTAGCATTGTCAGCTAGAGCTGCTGCCAAAGCCTTTTCAAGTTTAGCTGCACCAGCTCGCTCGGCTTCTAGAGCAGCTCGTGTCTCAACTAGAGCTTCAACATCAGGATCAACCATTTTCTTAGTTGGATTATCACTTAGTTCAGCCAACTGTAATTGCAGTTCGGCGACAGTGGCTTTAAGCTTACTTATTTCCACTGTGGCAAAATAAAATTTCAATTTTTATGTGCCATATGAATACTGTAAATTATGGATATCATTTGGTCACTTACTGTTAGCAGCTACTAGTTCTTTGTTAGTATGTTGTAGTTCTGCAGTAGCGAGGCGCCTCTCTCGGGCATGCGCTGCAGCGGCCAAACGTGCTCGTTCTCGTATTTCAGAACCAGCTGCTGCGCATTTCTCTACCCTTCGAAGTTCGCTCTCAAGACGAGTGGATTCCCTAATTACATGAAGTCAGTAGGTAATTAATTTAATATCAAACTCTCCTTTAAGTTACGACTTAATTGTTCGAACACTTGATTTCTATCTATTAAGTTGATTTGGCAACATTGTATGTTATCCTGTGAGTGTCTTGGTAATAATATTTACCCACCTTCGTGCTTCTTCTGTTGCTTTGCAGATGCGCTCCTGTAGTTCAGTATACTGTCGCTGAAGAGTTGTATGAGCAGATTGCAAAGGCTTTAGTTGCTGAACTTGCCTCTCTAGTGAGCCAATCTGCGCTGTCATTTCGCCACATCGATCTTCTAAAAGCTTTCGCTGCCTCTCCTAATAAACGTAGACATAGGCATGTATGTAGGTGGTAGTTTAGTGGTTTATTATTAAAATTATGACGTAACTATATAGCTTTGGTGATAGACGTTACATCATTTAAAGGCCCAATTTTAACATTACTGGTTAAATTTTCGTTATAATATCTAGAGTATTTCATTAATTTGGCTTATTTTCCATACTTTGAGTCAGAAACTGTAATTTTAGGCTAATATTAACTTAGCTGGAAGTGGTGAAACTAACCCTTTTTAAATATAGGCAATCATCCAATGAAATGCGTAGGCTAAATTATTTATTCTTAAGGTGGTCGACCAGTGGATTAGTGACTAATTACTTATTTTAATCCAAAAACTCTTGCATAACTTATATTAAATCAATAGTTTTAGTTGTTATGGGTAGGTACTCAAAAGTTTAGCATAGACCTTGGAGATAGCAAAAAACTTAAAACATCATATTGAAAAAATTACAACGTAGGATTTGATGATTAGAGATTAGATCAATGTGTACCGAGACTTAATTATGTTACTTCTACTTCTATTATTTTGCAACGTAGCATGATAGTGTGATATACTTAATGGATTCTAAGAATTAATTATTTTAAGAAACAAAGATAGGCTCCATTTGGACTCAGGACTATAATAATGCATTCATACTTAGAAACCAAATGGTAGGTAATATTTTTGAAGGCTTAGAAGAGAAATTGAATTCTAGGCACTTAAGCATACCATGGAGCCGCGGGTTGCCGGGGCTCCGGCTCGAAAAGCAGAAGGAACGGCGTGGTTTTTAGTCAGTAAGTGTTAGGCACTCCCTGCTGCCTCAACCAAGAAGCAAGAAGCCATTGAATGATTTTCGCCCCTCAAAAAACAAAACATTAACTACTAAATTATAGAGCGTATTTGTAGTTCAAGGCACTAAATAATTATCGCTTACAGATCAATACACGATGTATGGCCGATTGTTTTCAACACATGAGAATATTCTCACGTCATGATATAAAAGAAGAAATAAGAAAGCGTGTATGATGTGTATCGCGACACTGGTAATCCACTAGATAATGATACCTTTCATTGATCAGTTAGAAAAACTAATTCAAGGTGCGTATACTAGATAGACTCTTATGATAAAAAAGATGTAGTTCTAACATTATGACAATATAATATTATTATCTTTGTTAACACCAAAGTTATACATATACATATTCATTACACAACATCACGCCTTTTATCCCTGAAGGGGTAGGCAGAGGTGCTTAATGCCACTGTACAAAGTAACAGCCACTTTTCACTATTTATGAGTCTCATGTAATAGGGGGTGAACCTATTGCCATATACCGGGCACAGGGTAGATGCCTAATTTTTATTTTAATCTCCGTCTTGTAGATTTTTAATTTTCATACCCGGTCATCATCCCAATTCCAGACTCCGTGCTTCTACTGAGAATTAAGAAAAAACAGTAATACTTTGCCCTACCAGGGAAACGAACCCGAGACCCCTTGCCCGACAGTCGCATTTGCGACCACTCGGCCAACGAGGCAGTTACATATTCATTACTTAATTCAAATGACAGTTTGAACTTGAACATGAATTATAAAATCAGAGGGGCCCTATGTTAGAGACTTCGAGTATATAATCAAAGGTTAGAGATCATCTGAGGTATGACCAGACAAAGTGTTCATCTAATACATTTTTGTGTGAGAATTTATGAAAACGAGTAGTCAGATCAAATATTATTAGGTACCTATATACTAGTACTTTAGGGATGGAAATTAACTTACCATAAATATTGCAGTAGACAAAATAAAATTGTTGAGCTAACCGTTAAATCTAGGTGCATTTTGAGTCCTGTGACATGTTCTTGGGAGCTGGCTAGAGCGCTGGAGGCCTTGGCGACGGCAGCGGTGGCGGCGGCTGCCCCGTTGCGGGCCTCCGTAGCCGCCCGCTCAGCGGCCGCCCGCGCCGCTTCCGCAGCCTCAGCGCGAGTAGACTCCGTGCGTACCGATTCTCGAAGACGACTTTCGGAAATCTATATTTTTTAAATCACTTACTACTAATATTTCAGTAATTTTCATTTAAAAATTAGGTAGCGTGAAAGAGTAACTCACTGTTAGAGTCCTAAACTCTCCAATCAGTTCCAAAAATTGTTCTTCCAAAGTTTCAAATTCAGTCGTAGCTCCCATTTTAATAAATAAAATAAAATTAGTAGTTAGGTACTAATTAATAATTAAAACAACACGTTTTAAAGACGTAAAAAGCGCGGGTTTATTATTTTGTTCTCTTTTCAAACCGTTTACCAAAGAGCATTTTTTTTTTAATATTTGTATATTTTTTGTTGTTCGTTTAATTTCGTTTAAATTAATTTGGATACAGATAAAAAAAAATACATTATTACATTACTTAAATTACAATCACTGTTATTTACATATTTGGGACATCATTATTTTTTAGCTCACATTAATTCTCTAGGTAGGTGCGTAATTTTTAAACCATTAATAGAAACTAAACACAGAGATTTCAGTGCAAAAAAAAGCAATTTGTAAGTATGTAAGCTTTATGGGATGTGTCTATTTTCGATTTTCAAATTTTTCTAAATTAGGAAATATTCTGGACGACACGTGATTATCTGTAAACTGTGAAACTTTGTATGTATCTAGTTGATATTAGGAAATTGACTCACTAATATTACACTGGATCAAAGCTAATTTGTAACTGGCTTGAGTACAATCTGCAGAACGTAATTTTGTTTTCTTAATCTGTAAATTTCGTTCAACACAAAGAAAAGGAAAATGATTATGAAAAATATTTCCAGAGCAGTAATAGAATCAATTTACGTGGTTATGATAATTGAAATCTGTCAATTACTATCTTCAGTATTTTATAAGGGCAGACAGGATCTGAGGGGAATATTAAAGAAGGGGTGATGTTTTTCTTCGGGAGCAATCGGTATATAAAGGAGGGCTGATGTTTTGTACCACCATTCCTTATCTTGCTGGGCAGTGATTGGTAAGTTGCGTTTGTACTTGCATTTTGTTCTTATTTCAATAAAATGTTCTTTGTTTAAACTAAGATATTCTAGGAATTCTCATATTCAACTATTCGAAAAAAATGTTCGTGCTCGTGACCACAAATTTTCTACATATCTGTTTTAAGGAGTTACCTCTAGAGTTAATTCCTTACACAGAATCATAAAAATGTTAAATGATAAATTACTTGTCTTATCCCAGACCCCCTATAATCTCTAGCGTTTTAGAACACCTTGCTTTCATTTATAAAAAAAAAGTATGTACATAGGTATTACTGACATTGCGACTGCTCATATTTATTTTCCCTAAAATATTTTAATTAAGGCCATGATAACTTTATTTTATAGAGCCATACATCATTCAAAATGCGGTTGGTGACTATCGTTGCGATGGCAATCACGGTGGCGTTGTCGATGTTGGCGCATTGCTACGAAGGCGCCAATCTTCGGGGTTTCGCCCTTCCTGAGGAGGATGAAGAGTTCAGGCACAGGCCTCTGTACCGGGACTACAGTTTGATCAGGAGGGCAGCTCGGGCTGATGACGCCTTTGATGACTACGGCCATCTTCGATTCGGTCGGTCTGACGACTGACCCAAGCGTGCTTCTCATAAACGACATCTGCCCTCACAGCACAGAGATCGATCCTCAGACAAATCATGTATCTAATTGTATTCTCAAATTAATTAGCGGATAATGCTTCCTACTAATTAATAAATAATTAAAGAATTTAGAATTGTAGATAATATATTTTTCTGATATTAACTCTATGGTCTATGTAAGGTCTATTGTAAAATTAAATTATTCTGTTCTTATGTTGATGTTAATTTCTTTCGAAGTCCTGTGAAATATTATTGGCTGGTTAAATATTTCACGGGACTTTTAATATTATAGCATAAAATGAGACTATGTTTTTTTAAATAAACATCTCTTTGTCTACTAAATAAATTATTCCAAGCCTTGTACATTTAATTTTGAAACAATTACAATCACTTTGTTAATCTTATCCTTATTAAAATATCGACATGTATTTAGGAACTTATTATACTTTAACATAAGCAAAATAAAACACATGAGATTATTTCCATGAGTATATTATTACCCAATAAATACATTTGACAACAGTTATAATTATAATAAAATGTGTTATGTTTATTACCGTCACACACACTTGCGTTGCAGTGACGAACATTAACGAACCTTAGGTATTCTTTTATTCATTTTAAGGCATTTTTAAACTCATAAACCAATACTACTATTAACCGCTTGAATGCCTGTATATGAGAATAGAAAATACATTGTGTTTCGCGTCGATCCACGTTGAGACACACGACGGGTTAAATGGAAATATGGTGGAAATTATAGCCCTTGATTTCTTAACTCAGCAATTTAATGTTAACGCAATGATTGATTTCTTATAAGTAATAAAAGCCTTGTATGCACGAATGATAATATTCATTATGATGTATTAAAGCTGCATTCGATTTACATTTGTACATGTGACAATGGACTTGACAAATAAAACAATTATTTATAGATCATCTATCCACAGTTCATACAAGCTTTGCACTATGCTTTTTACTCATTTCGTTGTACCTGTTACTGCCTTCGTTAATTGACCTTGTTATAACACATAAGGGATCTCTTAGCATGCTCTGGATTTAGTTCATAAATCTAATATTCATTAGGCACACGTAATATCACTACTCTATATTAAATAATATGAGACTAGTTAGTTCCTTCCCTAATCTAAGTTATAATTTATATTTATATTATGTATGCAGTAAGTCCTAACACATATTGTATGGTTAATGTTGTACTTGGTGAAAATGAAGCGTATCGTGGCGAACATTCTGAAGTGAATTATTTAATAATATCTACAGAGAGTAAACGGAACGTTCTCGAAGAACGGTGACACAAAAAGTTTAATAGTTTTTGTTTATGTGTAACATCAGCATTGAGAGGTGGAATATAACTATTATTTAATAAAAGAAACATTTGATTCCTTATTTAACTCGTCGAGTACCGGTTTTGTAGACACAATTATAGAACAATAGGTTGCGGTCACCGGTGACCGCTTGGTGTTTGACAGTTTAAATGAAAACAATTCTTGTATTGTCTTGTCTTGTCGACGTTCGTTCGGGTGTGTTCCGTTTACACCCTGTATTGACTTACACAAAGATAAAGTAAACCAAGTTTATTATTGATTGTACAGTTTATAGAATGCGAAAGATAAATTAAACTCCTATGTTACATGACGACACAGTTTTTACATTTCATTCTTAGTTTTTGTGTTAAACACTTTACAGTTTGTGAGTATTACTTAACGCCAATATCCAACAACTGTCGTCTCCTCACTTAGATGATGTCCTTTTTCTGTGAGCTTCCCAACAGAGCCTGCAAAAAGAAATTTTGAAATTATACATACCATACACAAACGAATTTTTCGGAAATTATAATGAACTAGCTACTTCCGCACGATTTTACCCACTCTGCCCGGCTTCTAAGTCAAAGTCAGTCAAAATCTTTTATTTCAATTAGACCAGGAACGCACGTTTGTACGTCAAAACGAAATTTTGAAATTTAAAAAAAGTCAGTCTGTCGATCAGTCTCATTAATTGTAGCGTAATATTTCAATTTTTCAAATTAGACCAGTAGTGTCTGAGATTAGCGCGTTCAAGAAAACAAACAAACTTTTTAGCTTTATATAATAGTGTAAGATAATGCATTTTCTTGGGTAGGATACATTAATATCCCCTTGGAAGTATTTGAGGAGCGTCTCGCAAAAATAGAAAGATACTTGTATGTATGCACGTCTGCCTACTCCTTCGGGGATAAAAGGCGTTATGTTACTTGTCTTGTATTTTTTTTATATTTTTTATTGGACTCTAGGTAGATAAGTATTAATTAAAGCGACAAAACTTTTACCTTGTTAACAAAGTTAACAATAGCCGTAGCTGGTTGTTCGGGCTCCAGTTCCGCGAACACGTGGCATTGGTTGTCAGCACTCGATGACGCACGAGCCACGAAAGCGAATATTCGTCTGCAAAAGAAGGATAGAAGAATAACTTATAAGTTTTACTGCCTCGTTGGCGGAGTGGTCGCAAGTGCGATTGCTGGGCAAGGGGTCTCGGGTTCGATTCCCGGGCCGGGCAAAATATTACTCGTTATTGTTAGTCCCAGTTGTAGCACGTAGTCTGAAATCGTGCCCGGTATATGGCAATAGGCTCAACCCCTATTACAGGGACTTATATCACAAATAGTGTAAAGTTGATGTTACTTTGTACAGCGGCATTAAGTGCCGTAATGTACAGTGTGCACCTCTGCCTACCACTTCGGGGATAAAAGGCGTGATGTTATATTATCTTACGAGTTTAAAAAAAGTAGGTAGTTGAAAGTTTTTGAAGTATTATCGTAAGATTTACCGGTAGGTCTATTGTTAAACCCAAATTAACCTTCCAAATAATTTTAATATATTCAACAAGTTAAGATTCAAGAGACAGGTTAAAGCTGTCTCATCTTCTTCGGATCCATTTGATTAGGATTCCAAATCAACGCAAACAATAAGATTAGCAAACAATTTTCAATATAGCCGTTTACTTTTTGATAATGGACGTTAATTAGCACAAAAAGTTCTTACTTTTCCAACTGTGTATTGTTGTCTGTGTGTGTGTATCTCCTCTCATCAGGATCGAGTCCTGCGTATGAGACGCCGGTGGCAGGGTAGTGTCTTCTGAAGAACAACTTGCGAGCTGCGTCCGTTAGTGTGATACCACCGCCGAATACTTTAAAGTGCACTACATGTGCTGGAGCCTGGAGAGAAGGTTAAAATAGAAGGTTATTTCTGGTTAGCATCCATTTGAAAGAAAAAATGGGGATGTAGATCTCCTGAACCCCTATAATTAATCCCTCTATGATCAACCACGTCTTCGTTTACCACTAGGCAAGATGATGGCCAAACGACAACGTAGGTATCAAGTATAAAAAATAATAGGTTCTGGTACTTCTGAATGAGGGACAGATACCTATCCAATGTTTTATACCGGATACCAGTACCGATATACCGGACATCAATTAAAAAAACAATCCTATAGAATTTATAATAATTTTAATTAGTTTATACTCTTCAATATGAGTCTGTGAATGCTGAATAAATGGATAAATAAATTAAAAAAAAATAGATCGAAAATATACGGAAAAATCAAATCGAATAGCAGTTGTTTTCTCAATAAGGTTATTGTATACTGACCTTCTTATTAAGGATATTGGTGACGGCCCTCTTGACGGCAGCGGGTCCAGTCAAAGCTTCAGTGTTCTCAGATCCGAGCAATAACACGTGGCACGCTGCGCCGGTCGCTAGGAGCGCTCTAGCGGCTGCGTTCGCACTGCCACCAGTCCACGGATCCCTGTGAAGAAGCAATAAAGAAGTAAAAACCTATACTTTATTTCTTAATTATAGCAAAATTAAACAAGAATACATAATGTACAGTACTAGAAGAAAAGAAGATCCAGCAACCTGATAATTGTTAAGAGCGCTAAGATTTGTAAGGTAAATCTAAAAAAAAATTGTTCGTCAGCATATAAACTTTGGCACTTTAACTCACCTATCAGGTAATCGTAGTGGCACAGGCAGAGCTAGTGGCGTCACAGTATGTTGGTACACCAGTGCGGAGAGTGAACTGAAGACTGGTTCATCAGGACAGCCTCGCAGACGTACACCTCGAGCTGTAGGCTCAATGAGGAAGTGCCTCACTCCTCCCGCGCCTCCCGCTCGCACCGCTAAACCGAATGCTCCCGGGAACGAGTTGGAATCACGCACTATGAAGGCTCCCTCTTCCAGTTGCAGTAACGCTGACACCGCTATGGACAATATAAACACTTTTGTAGAGAATATCGCTTAATTATCTCTCCACGTAGATAAAAACAGATGTACGTAAAAGGTAGAAAGTATTTACCGACCGAACCGATTATATTTTTTTCCATCGAACTCAAAGGGCAGTTTATACCAGTAAGTTATTATTGACATAGAATTTTACTACTCTTTCGGTTCTATTATCATTTTTCTAAACATATCAAGAAGTTAATAGTTTAGGACTTCCAATTGTTGTTACTTTTTTGGCACTTACCATCATCTCTGGAGATGTTAGGCTTGTACCAATAGTGACTGGTGTCTCTCGCAAACCTCACTCGGTCTGGAGCAACGTGTTGAGGTTCTGCGGTCCCACTGACGCTGGAGCGACGAGACCCACTGCTGCCATTGTAGATGCGGTACTCCGATTCGGGACTTATTTCACGTTCTTTTCTACAAATTGAACACGTTCTAAGTAAAGGTTTAAAAAAACGAATAGACTAATATTAGTTACATCAGTGCCTTGACACTTGTTATCACTTACACGTGGCAAGGGATAGTAGGATCTAGTAGATTATTACTTTGTTAAGGCCATAGCACGAATACTTAATCAGAAAACAAAAGGGCTAATCTAAGATTAATAATAAATCTCCTGGAATTTTTATTTTGCTGCCGATTGTCAGTACCTATGTTATTCTATACCTCATGTCCTCCAGGTCAAACATATTGTACCTGGTCACGGAGGGCGAGCGTGGAGGGCGAGCAGACAGTGAGGGCGTCGGCGTCGGAGGATAGGGAGTGCGCGGGTGTGTGGGGAACGCCGGAGTGCCTGCTCGGGACTCCGTGCGGGACTCCGCGCGGGACCAACTCTCAACGCGGTCCTGGAAGTTCAAGGATACATTATAGCCTCACCTGTAAGTTAACTATAGGAAACTTTAAACCTGAACTGAAGGTATTCTCAAATACTTACAACAGTATCATTGTTAGAGGGCTCCACTAACGACAGTAATCCAGGCGCGGGAGTACTATTTGGTGTGCTTGTCGTACTCCACTCACGCATCGTCATCTTTTCGTACATAAACTTTCTAGATGAGGTTCTGCAAACATAACAATAACCATTCTTAAAGAGAAAATATTGCAAAGCGGTTACCATTCAGCCGGTAAGCGAAAACCAACAAACACTACACATGCATTGTTGTCAATCAAACACTGTTTTAATTGAACAAAATAAAATTTATAAAAACGAGTATTTAAACTATTTAAGAAACACGGTTCACAATTTCTGTAGCACCAACTGTATCACCACCTACCTAGTAATTTATGCTAATTGACTTGAAAGTGATAGCCAGTTTAGGTGGCGAAATATTCAAGCAAGCGGAACCTCAAAATAAGTGCTATTTTATACCTGTCTGGAGCTTGTGGACTGGTGTGATCAGTCCTGAGAGGGGTGCGCGTGTTGACGTGAAGGGGCACGCTGAAGTCCTCGTCATCATCAGCGAATGCAGTCGTATCGCTTGTGTAGCCATCCACTCTAGAAACGGCAACAGATTTATAATTAGAAATATGTCAATATTTATTTATTTTGATATTTACTTAACGCATTGGCTGCCGTGTCGGACAATGTTGTCCGACGCTAGCGGACGCTTAGGTAGGGCTTGGGTTTCCAAATATTCAGTGACTATAATTGGTGTGTGAACAAATCTTTTCAGTTTGACTAAGTCAATGATATCTTACCGATGGCTGGCGGAGCGGCGCACATGTCGGGAAGAAGTAGTATCCCACTCGAGCGGTAGTCGAGCGACTCTCTCCCTGGCCTCCTTCCTCTCTCTTAGTTTCTGTTGCTGTCGTTGTAACCACGTGAGTCCTGAGCTACCTTCGACACTGCTCTCAGAGCGGCGTGGCTCTCGAGCTCGAGAACTCTCGTGCCAGCCCAGGGTACTCGCTGATCGCCACGTTCCATTTTCGGGCGGTGTCTTCCGTACTGTAGCGGCGCTCGCAGGCCGTTCCGCCCATTCTACTTCACCATTCAACCATCTGCTGACAAATTATTTTATGGTTAACTACAGTTCACAAGTAGGGTATAAAAACGTAAGTGGGTACTTCAGTTGTCTCGTTAAAGTATTCGAACGGAAAACTAAAATGGGTTCTGTTAGTATTGTTTTTTTTCCTATATCTAATGAGCTTTTTTTTTAAACCGCTTTAGGTATATCTGCATATTAACTTTAGAATACCAACTTAATACTCCGGATGTGGCCATTAACAATCTCGAAATAAATTTTAACGAAAATGAACAAAATATTTTGTCACAGTACCTACATACTCTGTTTGTTATCTTTATAACTTGTTTTTTTTTATTTGCGTGTAGGACTTGAAGGTCCGCGTGATCTTATTATGGCAATGGGAAACCTTGTAGGTATCCACATGCTAAGAATCTTTAAATAGTGGGTGTTTGTTTCATAACTATGGATAACTCATAATAGTAAATGAATTATATTTAAATACTAATCATCTTCCGCTCAATGTAAAGTGGATACAATCAATGGACTTGTTTTTATTTAAGTATTCATTAAATGCTATGCTCCCGGATGTGTTCTGGTATACAATTGGAGCAGATTGACAGTTCTAGCACATGTTTTTAACAGAACCTTAACTGTTTTAATGAACAAGGAAGCAAAAGGGCCTAACAAAGCGGGCTTTAATAGAAAGTAAATAGTGTCTCGTGAGGCGGTGTGGCGGTGAGGCGTCGCAGTGTCGTGGCCCGGTCGACACCCGCCCGTTTATGGCCACGTATAACTCGAAATAGTAACTTGTTTGGGTCATGGCGCGACGCAATCACACACCATCGCTCCAAATCAAATCGAGAATTGCGAGTCGACAGTCGACATCGCTTTCCGACGTGCGCCTATGTATGGCGACGTGTACAACTGCTCGATTACATTTGTTGATCATTACATAAAGCTGACGTGACCAATTACATGTTGACGAGATGTTATTAAAAATAATGTCGTTAATCTAATACCGAATATGGTTACATTAGAAAGGTCTTTTCGAATGCTGGTTAGAAGCTATAAATTATCGGTTTGTTAGCTCAAGTCTATTCTGGGAATGGTTATGCCGTGTCAGTAATTTGACTGGAAACTTAAGAAGGCATTCATTGAGCGGGCGCCGCATAAATAATTCGCGGTAGGCAGGCTGCAGCCGGGGAGCAAACGCGTTATGTGCGGCAGGCAATGTTGCGGAACGAGCAGATTGATACTCGGTTCGGTTTCAGCCCACCACAGTGCGATATTTTCAATATCTAACTGGACAATATTATTTTACTGTCTCAATTCGTTGTGAAGTTTATTTTACTTAATAAAAAATGGTCGTAGGAAGTGAAACAAAGTGATAAACGGTAATAAGCAAGATTTAATACAAATTAAGTACCCATTATCAATATCAATACATAGTATAAAACAAAGTCGCTTTCGCTGTATGTCCGTATGTATGCTTAGATCTTTAAAACTACGCAACGGATTTTGATGCGGTTTTTTTAATAGATAGAGTGATTCTTAAGGAAGGTTTGTATGTATAATACATGCATATTGCACCCGTGCGAAGCCGGGGCGGGTCGCTAGTAACCAATATGAATCAAAATAAAATTCAAATTAAATGAGAGAGAGTGTAAGTGTTTTATAATTTTAAAACTATTTACTAATTACAGAAATACAAATAATTAAAAAAAAAAAACAATATCAAATACAAATTACATGTAAGTCGTAATTATTAATCAGATTCGCTATCAGATTCGCTGGCATCTCTATTCGAATCTTGATCAGAATCTTCTGATTGGCTGCGCCATGTTCAAATTTGTGGTTTCTTTTGCAAAAATAAATTTAATTGGACGACAATACCTGGTTGAAGATGGCGAAGGGTTTTGGCAAACAATTTTTTTTGCATTTTGTTTTCCTTCTGTCATTTGAAGGGGCACCATCGATATGCTAAGCAGACTCTCGTCACTACACTCCTCCTCTGATAATTTCTACTTATATCTATTTTGTGCCGCTCCATCACCACCCCATTTAATTATCAGCTTCAAATTTTTAACATTGTTTAACGTTTTTATCACCTCTTCTTGCACTTTACATAAACGTGTAACAGTATGATCCACCAAAGATTGAAGTTCGATTTCTGCACATGTTTCCGTGACATTAATGTTATTAGGATAACATTGCTCTCTTGCAGCTTTAACTTTATAATATGCTGGATACATTTTAATATTAATTTGTTTTGCTTGTTGCCGTACTACGTTGTACTGGTGCGTTGAGAGATTTGCATCAACAATTAACGCAACAGCTCGGTCTGCCGACAGTTCCACCTTTTTATTCGCGAAACACTTTCGCGCTTTTTTTAAAGTAGTCCCTCTTCGAGGTGAAGCAATAGACAGCTCTTTGACAATGGCTGCTGCCGAGGCTCTTTTTCCCTTGTTGCGAAGTTGGACAACTCTCCTTGATCTCCTTCACTTGATGTATCAAGAAGATGTTGAACGCGACGTTTTTTGGTTTTGTAGCTGCAACTTTCAAAATCTTTGTGTGGTCTTCCGGCTGGGTTACTAGGCCCAGGTGCTAAATTACTAGCTACACTTTCTGTGACTATATTGTCAAACATAAAATTATTTTCTAACCATTTCGAATTCGCCTTTAAAAAGCGATCTCGATGTCTTCCTGATTTTGACCATTTCTTGTCGATTTTTTGGCTATAACTTCTTATTTTTGCTTTTAATGAATCTTTAATTTCATCTGGTATAGATCTGATAGACATTTCTTGTAATATATGGTTCAGTATTCCATCCACTCTGCACTCTTTCGCGTTGGCGAACCAGATATCGAAAAACGTCAAACGTGACAATTGGTAGGTCATTCTGAAATTTAAAAAAAAATGTATGAGTGTCGCAGCTTTTCGCAAGTTAATACCTATGTTTCTTAGAGTTTACTAGTGCATCTACTAAAAAAATAAAGAACAAGACTGATATAATGTTATATAAGGTATTAAAAAACTGTTACAAACTGTGTTAGGTCTTATTTTGTCAAAGAAAAAAGGATTCGTATTCGTTCTGCTCTAACTATTTAATTTATGGATATTTTTTATAAAAATATTGTGTAAACTTACCTTGACACTCAAACCAAGATGGTCACAACACTTAAACACAACTAGCGTACACAAACACAGCGTATTCATCGAGTAAACTCAGACGAATGATACAAACGTTCACTTGACGCGACCGGTACGCTCCAGGTCCCGGCCCTTCCAACCCTTTTTTTTATTGTTCGGGGCAACTTCTTGGAAAAAATACTTTATGATCTTGAAATATGGTTTATTATCCCTCATTTTACACAAGCTATGACGTGGTACATAAAAGTGCGTATTTTGAATATTGTCCACCTAGATTTAAAAAATATTGCATTGTGCCACGCCTATCGCCGACTCAATTAATGTGACGAACGCTTCCGTTACTTAATGTAATTGCGAATGGTAATAGATCCACTGTTGATTGCCATTCGCAACGAAATAAAACTAAATGGGATAATTTCCTTACAATGGTACTAATACCAGAGATAATAATTAAGAATGTTAAACTAATAACATTCTTAATTATTATCTCTAAAGTATACTGTTATATATAGCTTTACTGTTTATCTATTATAATTTACTGTTTATCTCTTAAGTTTAGAGCTTCGGTTTTACCAAATCATGTTTTAGTACGCGTTGGTGATGAGTGGGTGATATTTTTACAGATATAAGTTGTTAGTAAATACTTAACGTTTTGGTATACTATAACGATATATTTGGCATAATCAGTTTACATATAAATTATGTAGGTACCTTATTAGGTACTATATTATAACAAAATTATCATTCACTACGTTTCGAAACTCCTTAGTCATAAAATATAATCAGAGATTCTACGTTAGTTCCATAAAGTACTTCTAAACTGATGAATTTCAAAAATGCAATCACCAAAATGTGAAGTGTTTATAATGGCGTATCTACTTCTATAGAACTTTATAAAGTTAAAAGCTCATTCATCATCCATGGCCCTGATTTTAAATAGCTGTTGTATTAAATACATTATATTTAATACAACAGCTATTTAAAATTGAGTATTGATAAAACATCCATCAGATTTGAAGTGCAGAAAGTGTACAAACAATGACTAATGCAATAACCAGACATGAACATTAAACAATACTTGAATGTGTGCCGACCTTTATTCCCTTATCTGCCATAACAAAAGCATTCACTTAGTGCTGCGATCACAATGCATTACGACGACTTTTGATTGACAACAGAAATCTGTATCATGTCATTTATCAAAATGTCGATCATTCTAATTCCCGCCCCGATAATCGCAACCGCTATTGTTTGTGAGAAACAGGTACATAGGCTTATTTTATTGGCATCTCCTGAGATACGCTATGAATCAAGACAATACAGTGATTATAACGTGTTATTATTCACTATTTGTCAACATTCTTTTTGTTTGGAAATCTAACGTAGATATATACGATTGTAGTACGTCCGCATTTATTGAATACGGTTGAGTATGCAGTCTCTATTATAAAACTGTAGTTGCAATACACAAGCTTTTAGAAAATTAAACATTCTAAGAATACATCGAGTGGTATCAGTATTCTAGAAAACATTTCAAGAATGTCTGACTGTGTTGTTTCTATGAGAATTGCATAACTTTCTGACATAGCGAGACAAAGATATCAAACATAGGCGTGTTTGTATGTACAACGAAGGGCACTATGCTGTAATGCGCCACACACGCGCTGTTTGCGATAATATTCGTAATTTACTCCTCATTTCTGTAGTCTCGGTGCATTATAATTTACTGGTAAACGAGTGTCGTGTCTGTAATATTGCTAGTAGGCATATTGTTTATGTACCCACTAAAGATGTTAGTATTGAATATTACAATGTTTCACACTTAATATCAGACATACTCTGAAGCGACTATCTTTGTACTGTTCAATAAAACTATGTAGTTAAGTTTTGATGGAATATTTTTTACTGTCGTAAAATTAGTCTCAATTATTTCGATCTAGAATAAAAAAATATGGATCGTACGATACAAAAACAAGTAATAATGCGCACAAAAAATATTAAAACACTGTATGCAAGTTTTTATTGTAATTATTGTATATTTACACCACGCCTACATAGCTCGCTCCTACGCTTCAATTTATAATTTAATGTTCAACCACATCTTTTGTTCTGTTTTAAAGTGTTTGTAAAAATGTTTTAATGTTGATTTGACGTATCAATTTGAGTTACTGCGATATAATTTAAATATTATTATGTCCAGCCTGTGTGATATAATCTGTGTAACTGGTCTTTCCCTATATTTTTATCATTGATATTAAAATTGGAGGCTGAAAAGCGAAAATTTGACTAAAGAGTTTCTTTTTGCTTCAGTATTTATATTCTAGATCTTCCCCGTAATTTTTTTGACTGGCTTTGTTCCTAATGGTCGTAACGAGGTATTAGGTACATCAGATTTAGATTCCTCGTTCCTCAAAAATTGGTTTATAAAAATACAATTTTCAAAGATTAAGGCGTAACAAACAACATTTTAGTTTTACCTACAACTATATTGGCATAGTTTTACCTACAACTATATTGGCATAGATTAGCACACTGTCAATTAAAATAATGATAGGAATGTTACTACCTACTTATTTAAAGTTATTTAGTAAAATGTTCAAGTAAACCTAGAAATAACATGTTTACAAAGGAACGCTTTCACGAGTATATATACTATGCATTGTACACTCTTGCATAACATCGTCACTGTCAATATTTTCCTTCGTGAGATAATTGTAAATTTACAATGAGTTACAAAATTATTTACAATTCATTTTAAATGTAGAGCGACTTCATTTAATTATATAGCCTGTATCAATTACAGTAGTATACTCTGGTCATTGTTTTGACCTTGTCTAGTTGACAGAAGGAACTTCATGATAATTATATTATAGCATGCGCTAAATTAAGATATAACGATGTGTCGAAGGAATAACATTTCTTTTGGAGTATATTGAATCTTGGAGAGAAGAATTTTTAGACAATGTATTTTTTTATTCATGGTTGCGAAATAATTTAATTATTTTATGTTCCCTTATAAAAAGTGAACCATAAAACCACTTTAATCGATTCGGGACATCAAATCAGGACCTCACAGCTTGTTCATCAGTATATGCGGCCACATAAAATATAAAGTTAAAATAGCCAATCCACAGAGCTTTCTCGGTTTGTTTAACCAATGGTTTCGGTAACGTCTTTGATGTAGATATAGTCTCGTTTACAAAATTAATCAGAGCTCCATAAATAACTTATTAGTCTGTGCTTGTGTGGTGTAATGGGCGTGATTGGTTATGCTATATTTTATTGCTGTTCTTCATTGACAGTGAAGTGGGTCGAGCGGAACGCGGCTAAATAAATTAAGGGGACATCGTCGGAACTCACTACGGTTTTGTTACGAACAATTTGTTACCGATCAAGTTGACAGATTACAAGATGCTCTCCCAGACGATGTTTGACATTACTCGCGATCTGTTTACTCATTGATATTTGAAATATCCGTTAAAACTAGGTTTTGCTATAAATAATGAGGTCGGTGAGGTTGTGAATGTAAACAGTGTCCATAGCGTGCGGTGTAGGCGGCGGTGGCGACCTCCACGCCTACAGCACAGGAACACATGTTTACATCTGCCACCAGATCCCTTGTTTTAATTACACTCATATAAATTTAATGCTTTGCCTTTGACCCTAGGGAGATATACAAACAATAGACACAAAACCCGGATGTTTAGCTTTGATAAAACAAACATACATATTTTTCTAGTTTTCTACATTCATTAAAAATATTTAAATATGAATAGGTAAAGTAACTTATATTTGAAAGCGCATGATTTTCTTTGTACCTACAGTTAAAAGAAGGGAGAACTGGTTTCGAAAGGTTGTCTTTATTTATGTAGCAGTTATACAAATATTTATACGTTTAATTAACCCGCCTTGACGTTTGTTTACATACATTTAAATATATTTATTTGGATTTAATATTTTAAAATGAACTCACCTTCCATTCCTTATGGGAGATGCTGGTGGTGGAGCTGCCGCGGTGGTGGTGGTGACTTCTTCGTGTGTTAGTTTCTTGAGTGTGCGTGGAGACAGCGGGGTGCGAGGTGATGGTGGCTCGGGGGTGACCGTGCGTTCATCATCGTCGTCCTCTATGGGCCGGTAGTTGCGGTCACCACCGAGAGCTCGTCTCACCAGCTCGGGGCTGGCGAGGCGGTTGGGTGCGCGCAACATGCCTGGGCGCAGGCCGGGCGCTCCGTATGTGAAGGGCGCAGAGTCTGCGCGCGCGTGGTACGGTATGTCGGGTGGTCGGTCGGCGTGCGACTGCGGCTGCGGCGTGTGCGACGCCGGCGGTGGGTCGGGCAGGGCGCTCACCGTGCGCAGCATGTCGCCCAGCAACGCATCGAGCTCGTCAGGCGGGCTGGGCGCGGCGCGCCTCCCCGCTGAAGAGATGCCCGAGTCCATGGATGCGCTGAGCGGTGAGGAAGGCCCACCACCGCCCGCACGGACCACAGTCGCGTAGATGGACCCGTCGAGGGGACCGAATGTGTGCGCTGCCTCGTTCCCGTCGCCCGCTTCACCTCCCGAACCAGATCCTTCTGCGCTGCCGTTGTTTTCACCTGCACCAGATTATGTACACGCTCATATAACTGAATGCTAAGTCGTTAGGTTAGGTTAGGCAGAAACATATTCTCACATAACTTGGTTGTGATTAGATCTAACGCGGGGCGATGTGTTTAGCGACGGTTTAATTACGAATAGCTTTTAAATTGGATTCGATTCGCTCCAATAAACCGGCGGGGCCTCTTCGCAACGAACGATGTAACTATTAACTCTACTAAGTATCTGGTCGAGCACGTGTACCTATAATTTTGTACTGCACTTTGTACGAGGACAGAATTAATTACCATCGGTAAATTGTGAGGTGAAGTCTGTAAATTATTATCGTATTTACAGGTATTATGTTGCCGCGAGTCGGTATCAAGAGTTTAATTAGCCCGAGCCACCTGGTACCTACAGTGGCGGGAGCAGTTAATGTCGCCCCGATACAGCCAGCATCACCTAAAAAGGACTAAGTTTGCTTCCCGTTATTCCAGCGGGATGAGACCGTTAAGTGTTGTTTGATGAAGTGCCGGTACAGCATCCTACGTATAGATATGTGCAGTACTAGATAAGTAGCGACTCTTATACGGAAATCATCTAAGAACTGTTGCTTGCAACCGAACGGTATCATTAGAAGTAATAGGGTAATGACGAAGCAGGTCATGGAGCTAAATATATATACACGTTAATACTGATGTCTTAGTCGCTAATAGTTATTATTTGCGTCCGATTCCTACATAATGATAAACTGCCTATTATTTAGTTTACAAAAAAAAACAGATTTAAATAACAAAAAGAAATTGGTTCCTTGTGACCTACTTAATGATAACCTTTTAGTATCTGTGTTACTGCTAAAGTTTTCCTTATATTGTTGACTTCATTAAATGAATAATATTCTAAGATGATCCTGATAGTTGACGGTTCAAGGCGAGATTGAGGCTGCCAAATGAGGAAACGACCTTAACGATGGATTTAAACGATTGATACCATATAAGTATTTGGTACAGAGTATAAAACGGGTGGGTAGTAGAGATACTGGCCAGTCGAGTCGTTGCTGGCGCTACTATAATAATTTCAGCTACAAAGATTTCGCTAACAAATGATATTAAGATTAACTAGATATTTGATCACCATTCATTAGATAGGTATAGTTAGAGGCGTGAAACTGTCAAAGCGTGTACTAGTGAATGCAAATAAGGAGGAATGACACTATCACTCGGCTAATTTACATAACGAGCGTGTCTAGTTCGCGTAGCTAACTTTCCGTATCACTTGTGTGATTTTTATTCTGGTAGCGAAATGTTCGGCGCCGGCGCCGAGTTCTACGATGTTCGATTTCGAAACTGAACTAAATGTGTAGTTGTCAATAACGCAATTAGTGTAAAGATATCAACGTCAGCGTCTGGTGACCGTCGCCGTCGGTCGCTGTTAAGGAAGATGTGGTTATTTCTGTGTTGTCAACGAAAATAACGCGCCGGGCGTGGAGCGAGGGCTAGTGTTACGAAATGTGCAGCGCAGGAAGAGGATGTGCGCCCTAGCGTCGCCTGCGCCGGCCCACTTGCATCCCACGATATATCTCGCACACGTGGAGATAAAGAAATCTGTTATCATTAATTATGGACTCTATCCCACACCATATTGATCTCAATCATTAAGACGAAAACAGAACTGTGATTTTATCTCAATCTGGTGTTCAATTTATTTTTCTTACAATTTTTAAATCGTATTTCATTCAAAAGTCTAAATATGGTACGAAACCATATGTAAAAGCAAAAAAATAATTTGGATCAATCAATTTTATTATTTAAATCATAATTGGTATTCCATATAAGAAAGGCAGTTTACTATAGGTACTTGTCTACAATTAAAGATACATGTACAAAGTATGCTCGATGGATAGATATTTATAACAGCTAAACATAATATTAAATTATGAAACATATTCATGTCCAACAAAAGTTTAGTTCGTTAGCAATTGAAAATGAGCGTGACAACGATGTGTTGGTGATCTTAGGTTTGGGTGCGCGTGTGACAGGCCGCTGGGGTATCAGACATCACAGGCATGTTTTGGTGGGGAACTAGTGTTTGTACAGTGGTCGTGTTTAACATTGTTGCGATAACAGTTACCTATGGAGGTGAGCGTGTGTTGGTGAGCGCGCAGCCGCAGTGATGTCATCGGGCACCACCTTGTGGTTCTGCGAATCTCTTCCCTCTACCTCTACCGCATTATTATTCGACTCAACACTGACCGTTGACTATCTAAGTTCGTTATCCGACGTTAGCTCCGAATTCTAACCAGTTTTGGTCTTTACCTTTTTTTCTAAGTAAGGAATGTGGTTTAGTTTTAGCAACATTTGCATACAAATTTGCTTATTTTCATCTTAAAATGAATGGCTTTGCGAATGAGTATCATAGAGTTTTCGAGTGTTAGCGTTTGCTTGTAATGGTTTTTAGTATTCGAATCAACACGTACCTAAGTAATAGATATTCAAATTCATATATTTGCTAGTAACACTTCACATTAACAATTTTAAAATACGAAAGAAAGTATTGTATTTATTTACGTAAAGCACTGAATACAAACACGTCTGTCACACGTACGCGGGCTGTATTGACTGTTCATCAAAACTGAAAGCTCTGGCGATAAAATAATACTGATAGTGTCGTGGCAGGACATGTGTGCGTAATGTCAGGGTAAGCAAGCACGGATAAACTCTTATACAATCGATACTCGCCATGCTACACACTAAGCGTGTTCAATCTGCGCTAAGTACACAATGATCGGCTGCAGAATGAATCGACTAATGGACGGACAATATAAACAAACAAATGTTAAATGATTCATATATCCTCTGAACCTTGGAAACTCTAACAAATCTTGTTAAAAATACACAAGTGTTTTAAACACATTGCTTTGCAATTCACTTATACAGTGATGCTCCACATACTGCAGACACAAAATGCGTTCGATAGAAACTCTCATAATTTCGCAGTGTTCGGGATGACGTCAGTAAACACAGCCTTGCGTGTGAATACAGAAATGATTGGGTATGGACCGGCGCTGCTAACATAATAATATAAATTAAGTAGATATGTATGAATCTTTGACCTTACTACTCGTATGTACTTCAACACTTGTAATCTCATTATGCTATTTTTTGCTAAAATTATACTTATTGTATGAGTATACTTCACCGTTGCAAGGAGTTATTTTTTGTGTCTTTTGATTTGTCCGATTAATGTGTACTCCGGCGCTATTGCGAAACGAAATCAAGATAAGAGAAACACGATTCTTGAGTACTTCAACATACTCAGATCACGATTATTTATTGCTCATCGACCCGTATCTGAGATCCCGATTCTCGTAACGAATTAAATTGATGTGTGTCGAATGCTGGCCTTAGGGGCATGCTGTCGTTCCCGAGTACAGTGGACATACATCAGCGATTTTCCACGCCGGTCAATTAGCGGGCAGGCGCCGACGAGCCGAATCCAATCTCATTATTTGTTAGCACTAACACCGCCTATTGTTATCTTTCCTCGAGACCTGCTATTGTTAAAGATGAAAAGCCGCCTCTAAAGCCACTTTCAATTTATTCCGACACTCTTCGTAAAGATTTTGACACACACAATCAATCTTAGCTTCCATATATGTAACGGAACTGATTGAATAGAATTACATTCACTAATTTCGAAGTCATAAAACGGCTTCGCTAGCAACGCTCGAAATTAATGTCACACTCACCTCGATTGTGATTTTGTTAGACTGTCTCGAAATACACGAAATAAATTGTCATCTAATTCTGTTTATTACTTTTGTAGCACATCATTATTTCTGGTTTTTATTTGCACGATTTTAGTGCAGATTTAAAGTTTGGCTTCCGTTTGTAATTTTTTTCAGTGATGTAAAAGTTTGTTTCGCCAGCGACGGCTAGGGATGTGCGCGTGCGTGGCTGCTCGCAAGGCGGGCGCGGACCGACTGGGCGGGCGGGCGGTCGCGGCGGCCGGCGGACACACATCACTAAAATAGCTCTACACCTGCACCGCAGCCGCGACCTCTCGCTAACCGGTGTAGTTAGGTCGCTTTGTCAACACACATGACACATTTCACGTCCAGTTAGACTTTCAGTTTCTAGTAATCACTCTGTTTGGGAAACATTAACCCAGTTTTTTAATTGGTAATTTGAGCTTAACTGAGGCCAATGCGAAACGAAATTCACGTTAATTCAATAGGATTTATTGGTTTACTATTAGCGTCGCAAAAGTTGCGGTTAGTTCAAAAGAATAGAAATATTGATAGACTAAATCTCAGTGAATGGATATCGGTGAATGTATACAGGATGTGTGGAATGGCCTCCATTTCGCTCAGTTCCTGCGTTGAGCGCTATTACGCAAGTTAGTTGGAGTAAGTCAGTGACATTGTTGCCAGTAACGGCAGACGGATGTTGTGCTTCACTTGGCATTGGCTACATGCGGGAACCCCTCATACCAATCGTTAGACAAGCTTTTAATGATCACAAGAATAGATTATAACTTGCGGATGTTGAACTAATAAAACTTGGTTAGGCGAATCTTGTGTATTCTCTAGTTTATAGCATAGGTAAACCTATGCTATAAAGATTATCTAAAACTAAAAGACCGACTATTTCATCTCTTCAGTTACGCCAAATTTCCTAGTACCTAATTTGGACCTAAAATTTAAACACAACCAATAAACTTAGACTCGTTAAGTTTGACCGACAAACTGGTTGAGTCAGTCAGTCAAGGTTGAGAGCCTTTTACTGGATTAGCACTCAGTTATTAATTTATGGTTCCCATCAGCGAAATTGCTCAGCAACCACGCCTCTTTGTTCGTTCACATTGTACCTACTTATACTTAGGAAGGGTATTCAATTAAGGTTATGGTGCATTGTTCTACTGCAACAATCACTTTAAGGTTTTGTATAGTCATTTCCTTTTTCACTTAGTAAGTAATTTACTGGTTTATATCGTGGTTTAAATTTATACATTTTTGGTAATTTCGTAGTACACAACTCACAGTCAACAAACAGTCAACTAAAACTAAATTTTAAGGCAATTAACTATCAGTATTTTACATGTTATGGTAAAAGCTCAATAAAACTATATTCATAATATGTAAATTGCAAAATATTTTGGCGACGTGCTACGTGCTACGAGCGACTACGAGGGTCTACGATAGCCTACGCCAGTTGTTTACGGTCTAGTTATAGATATCTATCTATGTCTATCTAGACATAAAAAAAATAATCAGCCGAACATAGTACGTCAACGTTTATTTAAAGTTGATAAATGTAGATTTAAGTTACTTTATAATTTCTTATTAGTCATTTTTTCTGTATTTTAGCACGACGTGTTTCAGTCCAAGCTGTACAAGTAAGTTTACAAATTGAAATGCGAAGTTGATCTACAGAGGCCATCAGGGAATGGCCAGACATTGTTTGGTCATCTATACAGATAAATAAAATTGAAGTATTAGTTTGTAGCAAATATAGCAAAATTTCTTTCTATTTTTACCGACTTCAAAAAAAGGAGGAGGTACTATGTTTGGCTGATTGTTTTTTTTTTTTTTT